TTGGGGGAGCTCTGTCCTCAGGACAGTTCTCAGGGGAAAAGGCTGTTTCTTGTATTGGGCCAAAAATCTGCCTCCAAGTGGCTCCTCTCCTCCTCTCATCCCACCTCAGGCCATACTGGCCACATCTGTCCCTTTCCCTGGGATACTCCTACAGAGTGCCACTTGGGGGTCATACTACATCCCCTGTATTCAGATCCCCTGCATGGGTCCAGGATCCAGCGCCCAGGTGAGGCTGAAGCAGTGCCTAAAGCACAGGAAGGGCCATTCACATGCTCTTCTCCCTGCCCAGGGCCTGTGGGAGCATCGTTCACTCCCAGAGGCTGGGGGAGGATGCTCCTTGAGGAAGACTCTGGAGACACCACAAACAACAGAAAGCACTGAGCTAAAACTAGAGTTGCCAGAGGGTTCCTGGAGACCAGCAGTCCACCTTGCCAGTTATCCAGATGGGCCTGTTTCCTTCTCTGAAAAACAGGGATAATGACAGCACCCATCTCATGGGGATTAAAGCAGGTGACACACCTATAAATCTTAGTAGTGTGCCTGGAACGCAGTCTGTGCTGTTATTATAAATCACACTTATCGTGTCTGCTCAATGCACACACAGTACTAGGCACCTCATAGAAGCAACTGAACCAACCTGAGTTCCTCTCCTAAGCCTGTCAGTGATTAGCTGCAAGCCTCGGCTACGCTACTGAACCTCTTCGAGTCCCTGTTTCTTGTCCCACCAGGCTGCTGTGAAGGTCAGAAGGGAGGATACTCCAGGACCTGACACACAGAGGGTGCCTAAGAAACAAGGCCAGAGCCTGCAGAAGAAGGTTCCTGAAGCTGAGGTCAGCTGCAGGCCCACAAACATGTTCCTGGCTATGCCACACAAAGGCATAAACCTCTCCTCTAATTAGCAAGCATGATTGTGGCAAGCTATCCTCCAAGCCCGGCCAGACACACGGCAATCAACCCCCATGCTCACAGGAGGACCTGGACAAACCTCAGTGCCAGCGGGGAAACGTGCTGTCTGCTGAAAGCGAGGAGTGTGATGAACCTGTTCTACATCTCAGCTACTGAACCATCTTCCCTATCAGGGACTATGGGGCATTTCTGTCCCTCTAAGACACTCTTTCTCCATTAACCATTTTGGAAAACAGTGGGAAGGGAGGCTCTTGCCAACAGAAGGCTCCAGAGACACCGGACCCACCCACTTTCAGGACTGTGCCGAGCGTGTGGTCAGCCTGCTACCCAGCAGTGACACCGGCAGGTAGTCCACCTGTGATGACGCTCCTAACCACTCATCCACATGTACTAGGCACAGTTCAAGGCCGGGAAAATAGCGGTAGGCGCAAGAGACAAGGATCCCTGCCTTATGGAGCGCAGGGGCCTCGTGAGGAGAGACAGGCAATAAATCAATCTGCATATCAACGGCTGGTGACAAGTGCCACTGAGAAAAATACAGCAGGGCAGGAAAGCCCTCTCCAAAGGTGACATCTGAATAAATACCTGAAGCGAGGGAGGAACATCTGTAGGAAGGACACTCCAGGCAGAAGGAAGAGCAAGTCAAGGGCCCTGGAGTGGGACTGTGCCTAGAGTGAGACACAAAATGACCCAGAGTGACTGGAAGGGAGTTGGGAAGGAAGCCGGGCTTCCCGGTCTTAGGAAGGACTCTGGCTTTGTTCTGAGAGACGTGGAGAGCCGTTCTGACCGGGCGCTTCCTTACATGATTGCTGTGCTCAAAAGAGAAGGAGGCAAGGGGTATGTGGGAACACTCTGGACTCTGTCTGATTTTGCTGTGAACCTAAAACTGCTCTAAAAAGTACAGTTGGCTAATTAGAGGGACAGAGAACACACAGGAGGGCAGTGAGGCAGTGCCCGCCAGTGGTCAGATCTGGCCACATTCTGCAGGCAGAGATGGCAGGACTTGCCTGTGCATGCAAAGTGCAGTGTGAGAGGAGGAGGACTACGGGTGACCACAGGCTGTTTACCTAAGCTCTAGAAGGATGGGCTGGCCTTACCCACGAGAGGAAGACTCACCAAAGGCCCTAATTAAGATTCCAGGAAAGCAGCATGGAGGCCACGCCTTAGAGACACCTACAGCTCCGTGATGCCAGGGTGGGTGGCGTGGAGAGGGGGAAGAGCGAGGACTTGCTGGGGGTTCCTGACCTTCCTTCTGGCCGCAGTTCCGTCCTGTGTCCAACCACACACAGACAGGAATGACCTCAAGGCCTTCCCAGGGGACAGGTCCTGGGGCTGGAGAGTGAGAAGGCCCTTTCCCATCAGCTGATAAGGGGGCTTTTGTGGTGGTGGGCTAAAACCTGGAGCTGGGGCCCTAGCACACACATACTACTGGCATCTACCCCTCCCTGGACTTCCAGTAGCCTGGATCTCCCACTGGGGTTCCGGCTGAATGAGAGCACCCTCATGGCAACAAATCATGGGACATATGGTCTTGGACAGGAGGTTGGGAGAAGGAAAGAGGTGAAGCAGGTTCTTACCCGAGCCCCTACTTTGCAGAGCCCTCCATGGGTGACCTTGGGCAG